GTGTATTTTGTATTTGTATTTTGGTCGGTTAGAAAAAATGCCTCCCAAAATTTTAAAGAAAGAGAAACTTATATATGTACAAAAATAAGGGTTAATACTATGAAGGGAGGGAATATGACTGTAAAGATGAAAATTATGAGATTTTATAAAAGGCATTGATAAGATTAGAAATTGGTTGAAAAAAGAAAGAAGATTTAAAAAAAAAAGGAGAGAATGTGATCAGGCAGGACACTAGAACAAAGCCATACACTAGAGATTTAGGGTATATTTTGATCTGTTAAGAAGAAACTGTATCTCAACATTTTAAAGAGAACAACATATATATATATATATCAAAAAAAATAAGGGTAACTACTATGAAGGGATCGAATATGACTCTAAAACTGAAAAATAAAAAAGATTTTTTAAAAAAGGGATTGATAAGATGTTGGTTGAAAAAGGGAAAAAGAAAAATTCAAAAAAAAAAAAAAGAAAAAAAGACAGTTAAAAAAAATTAACTTTGAAAGATTAAAGAATCATGGGGAAAAAGCTGTGAATTCTATGTTCAGTATTCCCCTAGTGCTGGAGTTCTGCCGTTCTCATTGATTTGTAAACTTGGTCTTGACTGGCTATTCTAGCTGATCTTCTGGGGGAGGGGTCTGTTGCCATGGCTCCCAAATGTCTTTGCTGGAGGCGGAATTGCCTCGCCCTTGCTGGATCCAGGCTAAGTTATTTGCTTGGGTTTGCTCTTGGGAGCTTTTGTTCCCTACAAACTTTCCCTACAGCTTTGGAGGATGATTGTGAAAATGGCGGCCTCCTAATTGCTGCCCTGGAGGATCCGAGAACTTGGGCCCCCACTCCTCAGTGAGCCCCCAGAGAAAAGCAGTCAGTCACTTCCATTTCCCTGTTCTCTGGCCACACTCTGTGCCCACCCGGCCTGTGACCGAGCATTTCTATCTCTGGCACATGACCCCATGTGGAGTCTCCAAACCCAGCAGATCCCTGCGGTGTGCTCCCATGCCACTCTTCCCAGGGGAGGAAGGGGAGTCTCCCCAGATCTGCTGCTTGTTGGGTCCCTGCTGGAAAAGATCTGACTGTGCCGTGTGTCATGGTTTATGGCAACCCCGAACTGAGAGCCCACTCCTAGGCTCTGTCTCAGCAGCTGGCTTCCTTGCTCTGATACCTGGGAGCTCTGCTGCACTCAGGCACCCCTGGTCTTTCTGTGACCCTGAGGGTCCTGAGACCACACTGTCCCAAGAGGGTTCCACCCCCCACTTAGCCACTGGAGCGACATCCCTCAGCGGAGCCGACTTCTAAAAGTTCCAATTTTATGCTCTGCGGCTCTACCACTTGCCAGAAGTGGCCGATGGAGGCCCCCTCCCCTGCTGTCTATCCTCCCAAATATCGCCTCGGATTCACTTCTCCACACATCCTACCTTCCAGAAAGTGGTCATTTTTCTGCTCAGAGAGTTGCTATGCTTTTCCTCGATCTCCTGTTGAGTTCGTAGGTGTTCAGAATGGTTTGATCCCTATCTAGCTGAATTCCTGGCACTAGACGAAATCCATGTCTCCTACACCTGGGCTAAGAGGTTTAGTAAACATCAGAATATAAGTCTTATTGGAATGATACCAAAAGTCCTGTTGTACCCCAAACCGGTTTTCATTAGCTGACAAACATACAACAATTTATAGTGATGCATTTTAAGGGCTTCCTGCAGCCATGAACATTATAATTTACTTAAGACATAACATATTTGCATAAGATGTTACCTAGCAAAAAACCAGACACTGGGAAACATAGAATCAAAACAGTTTATTTTTTTATTTTTATTTTCTTAAGATTTCTACATAAGTGAGAGAGAGAGAGAGAGAGGGAATGAGTTGGGGGGAGGGGCAGAGAGAGAAGCATCCTCCCCTTTGGGTAGGGAGCCTGATGCGGGGCTCCATCCCAAGACCCTGAACTCATGATCTGAGCTTCCCAGGACCCTGGGATCATGACCTGAACCTCCTAGGGCCCTGGGATCATGACCAGAGCTGAAGGCAGATGCTTAAATGACTTGAGCCACCCAGGCACTCCATGAAGACAGTTTTGAAACATGGAGTTGGGGCAATTTTGGGACTGTGAGTGCTGGCTTCTGGGGAGCAGAGGAATCGTCCCACTAGAAGTCACAGTACTTCATCCATCCTGGGTTTTCAGCATTTGGTAAATGTTTTCCAAGTTGTTTTTGCTTAACATCAACTCTTTAAGTAGCAATAGACCAATAATTCCTTGTTTCCGTTCATACGTCTGAGGAAAACATTGTGTTTCCCCTAGAAATGTTAATACCATGAAAAACATTTTCTATGTGCTACAAAGGTGTAGAAATGAATTTTTTTCTTGATGTCTTTGTTAACTCCTGGGGGAAATTACTTTTAAAGGACTCAAACATTATGTTTAGACTTTCCATATGTCAGGATTGAAAATGCTTCCAAAGAAATAGTATTTGGGGTCTTTTTTGCTTGCATTATTTTATATTTAATATCTGGTGTTTAGAAGCATAATGCCTAATTTCACTCCCACAGGCTCCTTTATTTCATACTGATCTAATCTTCTGTGTCTCAGCTTCTTGCATTTAGTTTCTACTTCTATTTTTTCATCTGCATCAGTTCACGTCTAAGTGAACTCTGACATTTATGGTGCTGTTCATTTTTCATACCACAATGCACTAACGATTTCTTTTTACTAGGCAGTATGCACTGAAATTGCCACCTGATTATCTTTTGTCTCTTGCAACTGTGTAGTTGGGTTACTTGTAGGTCTATGTATTGAGATTTTTAATCGGTCTTGATGTGGTCCATTAATCATTTGATACATTTATAAGAGGCTTCTTTTATTTGCCTAGTGCATAGACTAAATATTTTAAGATGTACCCTTTCTGTGTCATTTTTTTTTAAAGATTTTATTTATTTATTTGAGAGAGAGAGAGAATGAGAGAGAACACATGAGAGGGGGGAGGGTCACAGGGAGAAGCAGACTCCCTGCTGAGCAGGGAGCCCGATGTGGGACTCGATCCAGGGACTCCAGGATCATGACCTGAGCTGAAGGCAGTCGCTTAACCAACTGAGCCACCCAGGCGCCCCCTTTCTGTGTCATCTTAACAGATGTTCTGTCAATTTTCTTTAGTTCTTTTAACGTCTATTTAAGCCAAGAACACAACTGCCCACAAATTAATTTCCTTCCCTAGACTGCCTGAACAAATGATAAAATGAAAAAGAAACAGCTTCAATGAAAGGTGTGAATCACAGCACGGGGCACTTAGATGAAAGGGCCTATAGTTACCAATGATGTAAATAAAAATGCTTTTTTGTATGAGGCAGCACAGTCATGGGTTTTGTAAAATCCACCAGAAGGGTGGATTTTAATAAAATGGCAAAACGCTTCATCTAAGCATGTGGTGTGTTAGTATTGGAGGTGGGACTGACGGCCACCATTGTAAGTGAAAGGCCCAGAAATATCAAACTCATTATTTCTGTTGAATTCCTCCAGCCTGCACTACCTGCCTTTGTGATGCTTAGCTCTTCTGGGTTTTCTTCCCATTAGATCAAAATTTCTCCATTGATCTAGCAAATTGGTCATTTTACTGCTAGGAAAAAATATGAAATGTCTTTCCTATTTTTTGGTAGGATGTAGTCTTGGATTAAAAATATAATTTTTCTATGAGAACATATAAAATATAACAAAGCTACATATGAAATATAACAATGCCAGACATGGCTAGTTGTGAGTTTTAGTTACTATTAAAAAGTTGAAGTCAAATTTCCCAACAGTTGTGCCTTGACTAAATGACTTGCCATAACTACTACCTACTTTTGCTTTATAGCTCTTCTACTGTGTCATGAATCCATTTTTTAATGTAGAAATATTTTTGCTCACTTCAAATTATTCCTAGCAATTTAAAAATTTCGTGTAATGTCCAGAAAGAACATCACGCTGGGGGTTGAGTGGCCTAAATTCTCATCATGTCTCTGAGAGTTATTCAGTTCAACCTCCCCCAGCCCAAATTTCTTCATCTGTGGAACATGGAGCCTGAGCCTGCTGATCTGTGGGATATTTTCCACCTTGACTTTTCTAAGACTCTATTACAAATATCTTGCAGGCATTCCTGAGGGCTTTCATGAATTTTATGACCTTATAATTTATCTTTTACCATTGTTTAGCCTAGTGCCTTACTTAGAATTGAAGACTTTTAAAAGTCTTTATTACTTAAACACAATGTGAAAGCTGAAACAAATACAATTTGCCGAATATTATTTATTTTATCATGATTCTTGTAAATCCAGATGGTGAGGAAGAGCAACGAGGGGTAAGTACAAAGATCTAACAGCAAGGAGAAGAGGTCAGGTCATCTCATAGAGTTGTTTGGAAAATGCCATCACTTAGGCATTATTGCCCTTAAATAGTCATATAGATTTCTTTTTCATATTAATAAAAGAGTCATGAATAGATTGTATAACTGCATATGCATCTATTAGCTATTTACTATTTAAACAAATTCAACTGTAAAAGATCTGAAGGTTTGGAAATCTTGATCTAAATGTGAGTTTTCAAAAGGTATCATAGCACGTGTTATAGGAAACATTTTTTTGCTGAAATTAATAGAGCAACTGGTAACAAATTTTATGATGTGTATGAAAATTTGGAGGAAACAATTTTGTGAATTGTTCAAATACAATTTGTAGTTTTATATATGTCTATTGCAGTTAGTAAATAACATATGAAGCAGACTTCATAAGGTTTAGAAATAATTCCTTCCTACTAACTACTACTTTTCTGCTTTGCATATCAGCTATGTATATTTTTGGTTTCTTTGCAAGCAGGCACAAACATACACAAGCACTTATACATTCTTAATAGCTTTTGTGAAAATAATTGGAAACAAATTCTAATTAAGTAACACATTTAAACATATTTCCTTTTTTCCTTTACTATTAACAATTTTAGAGTAATTTTTAATTTTGATATAATTTTTCATTCTCTTTAGCTCCTCCGCAATTCACAATAATCCCCCGGGATCAAGTGGTGCTAGAAGGACATACTGTAGAATTTCTCTGTGAAGCTGAAGGGAACCCACCTCCAGTAATTGCCTGGACCAAAGCAGGTATTAGCATATCAAGTGATTGTGAAAAGAGATAAATACCTTCTTTATTATGAGGGGATAAAAAACAGTTTAATTATCATAGGTATATTGTGAACATGAAAACATCACACAAAATGTAATCTTTGAATTAACTATGTCATCATAATTTCTGTTATGTGTTAAGTTTCAACATTTGAATATGTGGCCTTCCTCAGATAATGTCTCTGGGACTCAGTTTCCGGATCTATTTTTTTTTTTTTAATTCTTTCATTCTCCCACGCCTCTCCTCTCTGGCAACCACCAGTTCATTCAGTTTCTTGAGATTTATTTATTTATTTATTTATTTATTTATTTATTTATTTATTTTAAAAGATTTTTATTTATTTTTCAGAGAGAGAGAGAGAGAGAGCACAAGCAGGGGGAGTGGCAGGCAGAGAGAGATGCAGACTCTCTGCTGAGCAAGGAGCCCATTGCGGGACTCGATCCCAGGACCCTGGGATCATGACCTGAGCCGGAGGCAGTGGCTTAAATGACCGAGCCACCCAGGTGTCTTAGTTTCTTGATTTTTAAAATAAAATTATTGGACAGTTAGTGGTTTTAAATATTTTTTAAAGTGGCAGAATTCTCTTTTTGTACAAAGTGAAATCGTAAGTGCAGTTAAACCAACCATAAGTAAAACTCTAGCATGTTAAGTGGGTAAAAGAGAGCTACTTTTGGTGAGAGGGTGCGGTGCTTGGGTGGCTCAGTAGGTTAAGTATCTGCCTTAGGCTCAGGTCATGATCCCAGGGTCCTGGGATCAAGCCCCACCTCAGGCTCCCTGCTCAGTGGGGAGTCTGTTTCTCCCTCTCCCTCTGCCCCTCCACCCACTTGTGTGTGCTCTCTCTCAAATAAACATTTATTTATTTATTATTATTAAGTATTTATTTAAAAATATAATATTTATTTATTTATATTAAGTTATTTATTTTATTTATTTATAAGTATTTTTATTTATTAATAAGCATAAAATAAATATTTATTTATTAGTAAATAATTATTTATTTGCAAGAGAGAGCGCATAAGAGAGCATGAGTGGGGGGAGGGACAGAGGGAGAGATCTTTAAGCAGACTCCCTGCTGAGCATGGAGCCCTACATGGACTGGATCTCACCAACTCATGAGATCATGACCTGAGCCAAAACCAAGAGTTGCTGGCTTAACTGACTGAGCCATCCAGGTGCCCAGAGAGCTGCTGTCTTTTACGTGTTGGGGGGGATGTGGGGTGAACCTGAGGGGCTGGGCACTTCCAGTGATCCCTGGGGTGTTAGAGATTAAGGTCTACACTCTGAGATGAGAGCCCCTCTAAGATTTCTCTGGTCTTGGAATTGCTAACTTTTATATTAGTTCAGGTAACTAGGTTAAATTCTAAGCACATCAACATTTGTGAACTTCTTCTGGCTAAAATTTTTGCTCTCATCTTTATAAGAGTAGAGTGGGTAGGAGGTGAACTTTGAAGCTGTAAAGCCAAGATTCACATCTCCCTCCTTCATTTACTAGTTTCATGACCTTGGGCAAGTAAGTTAACTGTGGTTTTACTGGAGTTACTTTATATATGCTGGGAGTGATTTGGGGATTCTTTTGAATGTATTTATACTCATAAACATTTAGAAGAGTATTTGGCTCATTTGTGTACATGGTCAATAAAGTTGACTATTTACAAAGGCAAATCATTTTTAAAAATTTATTATTTATTTTAAAATTTATTATCCATTTTTTATTTATCATTTATTTGTTAACAATAAAGGTTGACTATTTACTTTTGACAGTAACATATTGTTACTGAAATAGTTGAGAATGACAATCCATTAACTTGTTAATGGCCACAAGGAGTGTAAACTCAGTATAAGCTCAGAGGTGATAAAGTGCAATGTTGGCTGGGTGGGATTGATCATGAGGATTAGCAGCCTGAGTGTCACAAAAACCACCATTATTGAGATTCTGTCTCAGCACCTTAAATGTTGTAATTCCATAATGTTTTTATATTACAAATATTACATACATGTGACAAACAAATGTGATAAAGTTATTTGAAAATCGTATTTAGTAATCATTTTGGGGGGTAATCTAAAACTGTTATTAAAAATAACAGTTATTAAAAATAAAAAACTGTTATTAAAAATAAAAACTGTTATTAAAAATAAAAAAATGCAAAAACAATTCTTCTCCTATCCAAATATTGTCTTGTTTTCACTCCATTAAGTAAAAAGTGGGGGTGATGAGGCTATAGAAGTAGGTGTGGTTGGTTAGCCTGTGTAATGCCTCACATGCCCCCTTAGGCATTTTATAGCTTGTTCTAAGAGTAATAGGAAGCAAGGGTAATGTTGGAATAAGGTTAGTTTTGAAATTTGCACTCTAACTATGGAAAATAAAACTGAGGGGGCAAACATGAAGGTGGAGGAATTCATTAAGGGAGCTGACCAGTTCTCCTGCTGGGGGCTGGTCAAGGGGTGTGCCCCATTTCCCAGATGCAGTGTTAGGAGGAGTGCTCCCAGTATTGTGACACGGAGGATTTCCAGAGAGATCCCAACCTTTACCCACCCCCAGAATATCACACAGTAATAGCTGTCAGCTCCTTGAGCCATAACAATGCCAAAGAAAGTATTTTCTTTCCCTCTTTGCAGGAGGGCAACTCCCTCAGGAAGGTCTGCATACAGTTCTCTCCTCTGGAACTTTGAGAATTGACCATGCGGCACATCATGACCAAGGCCAATATGAATGTCAGGCAGTAAGTCCATTGGGAGTGAAAAAAGCGTCTGTCCAGCTGACTGTAAAACCCAAAGGTAATGTGTGCTGTGACTGGGTTTACACACCTGAAGAGTGCCTCTTTATGTGTCTTACACACATCCCCGGGGTCTTTATTAATTAGTTATTTTTTATTTTATAGGATCTAAGAAATTGCAAATTTTACAACTTTCTTTCAATCAGTCTTTTTTTTTCAAACTTGAGGATTTTATTTCTATTAATACTAATTATTAATGTTTCTTCCCAAAATATCATTTTGTGTTTTCTTACATTTTTTGCAAAGCTAGTTAATTAGCCCTACCTGCAGAGACTAGCTCACAAAAATATACATTTCTCATACCTGATGGTCTGAATTTTGATCTTATATTGATGTATCATTTATGCTCAGGGTTATTGGGAATATACTGCAGACACTTTGCTCCAGACTCATCATGAAATACAGTACTTTGGTTTATCATAAATAATAATATTCTAGTATGAGGTTGGGTTATTAGTCCATAATTTATCATTAATTGGCATGTAAAAAAAAGAAAACCCAAGGCTTAAAATTTTTTTTTTAAAGATTTTATTTATTTATTTGGCAGAGAGAGACACAGTGAGAGGGAACACAAGCAGGGGGAGTGGGAGAGGGAGAAGCAGGCTTCCCACCGAGCAGGGAGCCCGATGTGGGGCTCGATCCCAGGACCCTGGGATTATGATCTGAGCCGAAGGCAGACGCTTAACGACTGAGCCACCCAGGCGCCCCTCAAGGCTTAAATTTTTAAAGATAGTTCCAATGTAAGGATTAAAAATGGTTGTTATTAAGTATTCTTGAAATTTCTTCTTAGTGGTTTATGTTGAAATGGAGAACCTAAGTTATATATATATAGTGCCTAAACTGCATTTTTAGCATTGTTTTACATTTAATTTCCTAGGTTTCTCCATAAATTTGCTATAATTTATTTTGATGTAGTAGATCTAAATTCAGAGGTAACACATATTTAGATAAGGTTGGCCAGATGTAGCAATATAAATATTAAAAGAAATATTAATAATGTTGAAATGTTCAATGATGCTGAGACATAGACATAAGATTATACTGAACTAATATCTATGTACAATCTAGTATTGATTCCTTTCTCACTATATTTTCAACATATCAAGTGCTTATTATTATTTATTTGATGGAAGTTAAGGTTCTATGAAGAGGAAAAAGAATATTAAGGAGAGTAGTCAAGTAGCAGCTGAAATGCATGGGAAGATTTGAAAAAAACTATTGAAAGATGCCTTTAGAAAACCCCATTTCTTTGGTTCATTCTTTCTAAGAGGAAATGCTGAAATCTGCTCTGCAGAATGTTAAAATTACTTTTGAATTGTTTTTCAACTAATTCAACTAATTTAAAAATCAGAAGGTTTTTACATTAATATCTTTTTATTTTAAAGATTTATTTATTTATTTGAAAGAGACAGAGATAGTGTGAGAGAGAGTGTGTTTGGGGGTGCAGAGGGAAAGAGAGAGAGAGAGAAACTCAAGCAGACTCTGATTTGGGGCTTGATTTCATGACCCTGAGATCATGACCTGAGCCAAAACCAAGAGTCAGATGCTCAGCCAACTGTACCACCTAGGCACCCCTACATTAATATCTTTTTAAAAAGAAGGACATATTAAATCAACACATTGTAGTCAAATAAAATATAGCATGAAGTTAATGGTCTTAGTTTTGTCCTCTTTTTGCTCCATTATTACATCCTTCCACCAATGTCTCCCACTGACCGTCTAGATCTCAATTTGGAAGCATGCTTCAACCCAAGGAGGGTTCCTTTTCTCCACTCTGTAAGATATTTTAAGATGCCACTGTTGAAATTAATATTAGAATATACCATTTAATCTAATAGTTGACACATGTGGAGGAATTTGATAAATTTATCAAATATACATAGCTAAGAAAATATTATCAATAGACAGAAATGTAGAAACAAACAAGTTTTCTTTTTTAGCAAACAGAGAGCCCTACATGTTGAACAGAAACTATGTGAATGGAGTGGGGAAGAGGGCCATAGAGAGGAAAGGGTTGGGATGGTTGGTTGAGTTAGAATGTATCAGATCTTAACTATAGGCCATGGAAGTTTCCAATTGTTGGCCAGATATATTATGTGGGATATTAATCAGCCCAAAATGAATAGGCAAATGTTGAAGTGAAGAAACTCTAAAAATAAGAAACCGTTAAATCTGTAACATAGCCAAGTGATGTGTGAGGTGACCTGGACATCCATGACAGAGGGAATGGAAGAGTTAATGAATTCAAGTGAACATATAACAGGTGGAACCATTTTATCTCTGAAATTATTAAAAATATTTTTTTACCAGTACCCCTGACAATATTTTGCAGGCCCCATTTTGTTTGTATTGAAGTGTTTCTCAAAGTGTGTTCGTGGATTGTCAGTGGAGAAAATTTCCAAGACCCTTTCAAGGGGGTTTTTAGGTTAAAACTATTTCATAATAATATCAAGATCTTATTTGCCTTTTTTACTAGATTGACATTTGCCCTGATGGTACCAAGATAATGTTGGATAAAAGTGCTGGAGCCTTAACATGAACCAAAGCAGTGGTACCAAACTGTATTAGTAATTCATATATTCTTTCCTTGTAATGGGAAAAAGAAAGTAATTTTATTTACAATGTTACTGATAAAACAGGGGGAAAAATACTACTTTTATTAAATCTTGGCCCTCTAGAAGATGCTTCATGAAAGAAATTGGCAAAAGAAGCTATCAATTGTCAAATTTTGATGTAGTATCATAGATTTTTCACAATTATCTGAAAAAACTTTTAAAATATCCCTACGTTTTGCAAATACTTATCTTTCTGAGGCCATATTTTATTCATATACTTCAACTAAAATGACTAATTGCAAGAGATTGAACTCAAAGCAGTTATTCAATTATTGAGATTTGCAGAAGTGTAGAACAATATGCTACTCCACTCACTACTTTTATTTTTGGAAAATTAATTAATGTTCATAAAATTGTGTTATTTATCTGAAAATTGTATGAGTTTATAACTAATTTTTGAATAAGTAAATTTTAAAGTTCTCAGATTTAATTTCTAATATGGTGAACATAGCTACATATAACCAACATAAATAAAAGCTCTTTGAGCTTCTCAATAATTTTTAAGTGTAGTATTCCTGAGGTTAATGTGTTTTAGTAACATTCATTTGTTGGATCTTCTTTGCCTGATTTCTAGATCTTTCATTTTTCTTTTTAATCTCTTTAAACTCTTTGTTGCCACATCATTTTACTTGCCTTTCTCATGTCTACCCTTTATGTCCCTTGCTGTGTTATGAACAGTGTGTATTCACTTCAGAGATGCTTCTAACTTTTAGCTATGCAATAGTTTTATTTTTTCCACTAATATTTTGCTCAAGTATATGCAAATATATATATAAACATTGGATGAAACTAGTAATTTTATAGAAACATATATTAATGAAAACTAATTCCAGAAGAGATAGAAATATAAACAGAATATAGTAGGGGAGAAAAACGTTGCCAAAGATCACAGCAGTGCAGATACCCAGCTGTTACTCTTTGGCATAGCTGAATAGACTATTAATTATTCTGAATATTAAACTTGCAAAAGAGATCTCTCCAGTAAGAGCATGTGGCCATGTGGTTTCCCAAGGAAAACCATCACATCTATAAGTAACAAAAATTCTAATGCTATTTACGTTGTTTCAGGAATTAGAAAATAATAAACATGCTAAAAATATTTTTAGTAAAACAAACGTAAGCTTGATAACAAAATCCTAAGAGTTGATTAAAATATATAAAGGAAAAACTATCTTGCACATCTATGCAAAATATCCAATAATGTAAATAAATAAATGTAGTTATAAGTCATAAAGAATCCAGTAGCACATGAAAAAATATTAGTCCATAATTAAATGGTTTTTATTGCAGAAAGTCAAAGATAGTGTAATAATAGGAAAGCTATTAATATATTTTATCATATTAATGGATTTCAGAAGAAAAATCAGGATTCTTTCCATAGATGCTAAAAAGACATTTAATAAAATTCAACATTTATTCTCATTAGAAATGCTCAGTTAACATAGGTCTGAACAAACATTTCTTCAACATGATAAAATAGATTTACATTCCTGGATTTTTTGCATAGGCATACAAATAGTTTTCCTTTCATATATTTTAATGATTTTTTAGGATTTGTTATAAATTACACTTGCTTTACTGAACTCATTAGCCAGAATCCTGCTTAATAGAGAAATGGTATAAATAGTTTCACTAAAGAAAAGATTTCTGTTGTCATTACTATCACTTGATATAGATTTGGAGAGGCAAATTATTACAATTAGCCAAGAGACATAAGAAAGAATAACCAGGAAAATTCTGAGAGAGAACCATAATTAAAGAGGACTTATCATACTGAATTGTAAAATATATAATAAAGTTACATAAATTAAAACTACCCAGATAGTACATTAAGACAAAATATATAATCTACAAATTGATTCTCTTTCATATGGGAATGCCATATATGAAAAAGATGGCATTTCCTTTGAGTGAAGAAAAGGTAACAATTTAATAACCTTTGGGAATAACTAGGTAGACATATGAAAAATAGCACTGTGTGCATATGATGCACATTTTGTTCTGGAGATGTCTTTCTAGTCAGGAAGTGTATGTGACTGGCCCTTCTTGAGATCTGTGTCATAGCCTCTTCCACACACATCTCTACTGATCTTCTCTGCTTTAGGTAGCCCTCCCTCCAACTTTTTTGGTGGAGTGGGCTTTAGTGCTTCCTTAATTTTACTGAAAATGAATCTGGTAGTTTTATAAGCAAAACTAGCAGTATGTTTCTGATTTTCATCCTCCCTGTTGCTGTTGGATCATTTTTTTGGATAAAAACTGGAAATGCCACCCTTATGCTCCCACCAGGCTCCATTTCTTGTTTTCAATATTTAAGTCTAACAATCTATATGCAATTCTTTTCCTGGCCTTCTCTCAGTGCAGGCTGGAGCAGGTGACTCTAGTAGAT